AGAGGACTTGGAATCTTCGTTATTATTTACCAACATCAAATTACGGAGAAGGCAACCTGGAATTCTTATTATGGACCGAAAAAAGTTCTACACGGAAGCCCACTTTATTTTTATGGTGATCGCCCGTGAATTCAACGTCAAGATCGGCCCGAGTAGAGAGTTGAGATCTTATCCGGAATCGCTTCACGGAATGTAATGAATGGGGGGAAAAACTGCTCGAGGTCATTCGAAATTCCGAATTCTCTTCCAATTGGGAGCCACCAGATGGTGATTCTATAATTAAATAGACCGCACCACCTTCAATCGGACGCTGGGTCGGACTGACGTCACTGATGCTCCCAAAACCTACATAATTGGACTACCATTTCCTCCCATTTAGATTCTGTTTTCAGTGAGCGAAGAGAATGTGAAGAATGAGAATGCAAAGTTCCTAAAAGATGTCCCTAGAACGTCAGTAATTTGGATCACTTACGCTATTCGTTAAGGTGCCAAGAAAGTAGACAAACTATGAAGAGTCAAGAGACTTTTTGCTTCGAAGACTCTAAAACGCCAGTCAAACGCGACAGGCAAACAGCAGTGGACTTCTAAACTTGAAGCTATGCAGAGGAATTTCTGAAGGGCGAAGAGCAGCAGTTCTAGGCGAAGCCTCTGGGACTGCGACGGACATTCGTAATGGCCACCGGGCATTGCAAATCCCTGGACAAACATGATAGCCCTTCGTCTTTCTGAGGGTATCGTCACTGCTTTCCGAAAGGCAATGTAGAAAATCGTGAACGAATTATACTTGAATTTCTTCAAGAGCCTTGTCTACCTGCCTACCTACTACTCCAGGCAGGTAAGTCTTTCTTCCTAATTTCGACATGAGATCACTTCGATGAGGAATCGTAAGCTGCCCTGATAGGAGTCAGGATATCTGAATAGCCTTTCACCAGTCATCATCGAAGCCTTCGCTCCGCCATTCAAGTTGCACCAGTTAAATGCATCTGGACAGTGGAAAGCTGGAAAAACTGTAAGCCTGTACCAGAAGAGAGGCCCACCCGATGTCAGCAACTATTGTACAATTTGCTCGCTGTCTATAACTGATACGTTTTCACACAAATTGACAGAATACTAGACGAAGAACAATCAAGCGAACAAGTGTTCAGCACAATCGATCACATTCACGCAGTCACAAGACTAACTGAAGTATCGCGAGATTACAGAAAAAATTCATCATTCTACAAGAAATTCACTGTCGGTGTGATGAGAGAATAGTACGATACCATCTCGCATAAGCTTCTCGGTGCCGCTCTCGAAAACACCATGCATAATCTGGAATGGGAAGTCATGACAGCGAAGGGGGCTTTTCGCACCATCTTCTCTTCGCGACGACAACGTGTATATAGCAACATATAGCAGGCGATCTAAAAAAGCCGATGTCTATGCAAACAGATCGGTACATGATGCTCCCTCTAGCCCAAACGAGCGAAATCTCTGATTGCTCTCGTTACTTGTGTCTAGATCAAGAAGTCAGCATTGGGAGCTACAAAGCTCCAGTGCTGAACCGTTCCCATTGTTGACGCCGAGTTAAGCATAAGGTAGGCGCGCGCGGGGTGGAGAGCGTTAATGAACATCAAGGAAATAGCGAAAAGACCAAGGGCATCCGGCCTCGCGCTCTCCTTCCGACACTGTGCCCTTCTGCTTTGACATACTCCTCAGAGACATGGAGAGCATGTAGTCATCGCCATTCAATGCGCCTTGGAAAGGACGATACTCGGAATTCCCTGATACCGGAGTGTAGAGAGAAATCCGGAAATTCGAGCTATCGTAATGGCCTATGGATTAGAGCGCTTATTGGATCTTAGGGACGTCAAACGAACACCAAATCGGCAGCCAAATCAAAGGTCGAATTTCTCCTCGAAACTTCTTGACGAAAGGAATGCTATGCTTTGTCGCTCGAGCGAAGACGATCCACTGGGCTACTTCAGGTTGGGACAGAAACGAACGGGGGCATTACCTCTGTCCGAGCGGGGGAATCGCTGAACCAAGGGAGACAAGTGACAGGTGTTACTATTTTGCAAAAATTCAGTTCGTATGCTAGAGGCACATTTTTTACTCTCTGCTGCTTTCAGCACACGTCTGGTAGATCGAGAGGCCGACACGCTGTGAAAATGATCGGATGGGGAGTTGAGAATGGAACCAAATACTGGACAATCGCCAACTCATGGAATAAAGATTGGGGAGAAGAAGGTATCACACAATATTAGATTCTCCTCATTGTAATGTTTATTAACAATATACGCTCTCTTCTTATGGGAGTAGAACCAGCGATTCTGGTTTACTAGTGTCTCTCAAAGCTGATGTTTGAAAGCCCTGAATAAGCAGTACTCTTTCCTATGATTGTTAGGACACAAGTTTCAGAAATGTCCGTGCTCGTTGAAGTTCTTTCACATAAGAAGTGGTTTTTTATTCTAATTGATTCAAACACCCCACTGAGTGCACCACAACTTTTAGCAAATAATCCACCCACCGCCACTGTATAAAGTAGGACTAGGAAAGGAGAGAGGACAAAACCACTGGTGTATAACAAACTCCAGAAGCTGCTATGGTAGGCATTGCAACGAATATGCCTCTACAGCCAGTAACCGTACCAGTTGGCCATGGTGCCCTCATTCCATAAGGAGTCATAGGACTACGCAGGAACTCCTGTACAGGGGGTACGCCAAGTTCCCTCGTGGAACCGACTTGTATGTTACTGGTTGAGTGGTTAAGCCTGACATTTCCCTATTTCCTCTGAAACATCGAGATTGGCAGACTTCGGCCTTGGTTATACAGTAGTAACGGTGGCTTCGCACTGCAAGTAGTTGAGTGTTTTGTTAATCCAGTTTTAGGTAGGGAAAAGTAATCTCATGAATATACGGAGGAGTTCAGGAGCCAATTTAGAATCTCCATTGTTCTGTGCCACGTAATAAATTCTCTGCTGTCAAATTACACCTTTTCTTTATTTCTCTAATCATAGCTTTTGAAAACAACCAGCAATCTTCAACACAAGCCCTTAGAAATATTTGTATGATGGCATCGGTATAGACTGCTAACGACTTTTTCCATTCACCATCACCTGAGACCAAAGCAGCATGCACATTTTCCAATTTCACCTCTGACCCTTCTTTGGCTTCCAATAGTAATTTATGAAATAAACTGAACCATTAGTTGATAAAAGCATCCTGTTCAGGCTTCTTCCGCATCGTGCGTGGAGTGGACAATTGCGGCATAGAATCAGCTATAGTCGCTGGAGATTTCTAGATTGCCTACAAACACAATAAATGATTTATGGAACTTTGTGTCCCAATGGATTTGGCTGGTGATAAAATACAATATGGCAAGGTTATGGGAAATTTTCCCGCTACCCGATTCTCCCTAATGCGCTCTAGAGAATCGTTTTGGATTGTGGTGTTCGACACTTTTGCACCGGGAAATCCCATTCATTATGCGGCACATCATTTGAGTATTACTCCTACAAGATAGCAAAGGCGAATGACATTCTCACTCGAGACTNTTCTTCGGAAAAAAGGGCGAAAACGAGTATATTTACCGCTATGGTTAACAGACTTGTCTTTTATTCTAGAGCTTCAGTTTTGATGTGTTGGAGAAATTCGGATTTGGAAGTTCTCGAGAAAGAGAACAATGTCCCCACTGTGTTGGCATACCGCTGAATTTCATGTCATCGTCTAAAACGCCCTATCAGTATTTACCTTGTACATGGTCTTTCTGAACGTGAGGACCTCCCGATGCTTCCGCTTGGAGTCCAGTTTATATCAGTCAGCAGAGTTACTTTTAATACAATTCTGGGATTAATATATTCGTAGCAGCTTGTAGCTTTTGACAGAATTGTTTTAATAGAAACGTCAGATCTGTCATAAAAGCGCTGTTATCTTAATGGAGCCCCTTACGTCAAAGGTACGGAAAAACGAGGCTTTTGCGAGATTTTACTTACTTATCTCACTCAGTCTAGAGAGTCTTTTGAATTCTGGGAAGTGGTTACTACACCAATCGAACATTTATGGGAGTAAAGTGCAACTAATGATATTTTTGGTGCCACTGATAGCGCTGGAGCCATTGTGATCAAAGTACACTTTGCATACACGATATTTTTAAATATAGCTAGACTTTGTACATGCAGTACATAATAGTTTAAGGGTTGGTCTCATACGATACTAGAACTCTTTAAGGAGTCGGCATTGTTCGGTTTCCTGCCTCCCGGAGATTAACCTTGAAGGAGTGAATGTTCACAGGCTCCTCCGAAAGTCATCAAATTGATTGATGGGCTATAAAAATGATTGACAGTCTCCTAGAGTACATATACTGCAGCTAACTGCTCATCTTCTCTGTAGATTACTTTGTGGCATGAGAAGGTGGTTAAGAAGGATGTAAGACAGCACATGGACTTGGTCGGCGAGCCAAAACTAAGTTTGTTTTTAGAGTAAAGTACTTGATGGGTGAACAGACTTAGCTTTGGCAGCACTGCAACTTGGGCTATGGACTCTTGCAGATAGTTCTTAAGCCAATATAGGTATAGTCCATTTAGTGTGATGTGATCTGCACATTTACGTTCGTGCAAAAGTTGTTAATAGCATGTAAAATATAAAAAACGTTTTTGCTACGATATGGTTCCTGATAAAGTTACAATAGGCGATAAACGTCGCACCCTTTTCCAAACGTTCCAAGTCTTTGCACCCTCTTCTAAACGTTCCGAACCTGTCTGAATAACCATCGCCTGGACACGAAACTGCAGCAATGTTGGTGAGTTTCCTGTTCGTCATTCCTCTCCCTGTGACGTCTTCTTTGTTTAAAATAGCGTCTTTTCAACGAGGACGGTCTTTTAGACATTTGCATCTTCATTTTGCTCGAACTAAGAATATTAATTCTCAGTGGGTTAAAGCAATGTTATGAACAGATTCTTGCGAGAATACCGATCCTACCAGGATCTTCCTAAAACTCGAAAAATGGTTATACTCTATGGCAGATCGGTACTGGGCAACAGATGCGCCTGTGACTTAATCGAAAAGGGGCGAAGCAAAGTTCAAACTCGACAAAAATTCAAAACTTAACATTGATATTTCTTCATTTTGATATTTCTTGTGCGTTCATTTGCCCAATCTATTACTATGTGAGGCACACTCAAGCAACAACCGAACCCTTCCGTAGCGATTTCTTCTTACTCTCTGCGTTAAAAAGAAGAGATGCAGTATTACCTCTGTTCAGGTCACAGTTGCACTCCTCATCTTCGTCACTCCTTCGTCTCAAACGGCGCCCACGATAGGTAGATATTTAGATATTTCCAAACTCAGGTAGATATATAGCTCCACTCTTTTGTGTTTTGTTCAAAAAATTTCTCCAAAAGTAAGTGACTCTGCTAAACAGTTCTAGCCTTTTCTCCACTTTCTGAATGTTAGCATTTCCCTCACTTTTTTCTCGGCGTTTTCTGTCTGCCCAACCGTTGAGAATGAGGCAATCGCTCGGACGTTCAATACGTTCAATGCTTGAATCGAAAAAGGTGTTTGGGTTAAGACAATATAAATTGCACACATGCAATAAAGAAAAGGATTGAGACAACCAATGACACAAACACCATCACACACCCATTATTGGTTAACATACTGGTGGACTAATCGACTTATGTACAAAAAATTGTAGTTCACGGTCTCCATCGGCCTGATATTTTCTGTTTTTCAGAAGAGTTTCTTACTAAACCAATTCCTGAAGAGGCAGAAGAACTGACAGGTGAAGCACTGGTGGAGTATGTGAACAAACACCAGCCGTTCTTCAAGGTTTCAATTTTTATTCAAAATTACAAAATTTGAACTGGAAAAAATCGTTATTAAGTGATCGAGGCAGGCGAAAAAGCCAACTGTTTCATGATGATGATTCTGTTACTTTCACTTCACCGAACAACATGCCTTCTTTTTTCTAACTTTATTTGCCCTGATTTCTTCAAAAAATTTTATTTTTTTTCTTTTTTTTATCCTTTTCGGTTTTTTTTCTTTTTTTAATTTATTGGTGCCATGATCTCACCCAACATGAAGTATCTCTATCTAAAAATTATTCGTTTTCTTGACTGGTGTTAGAAAAGCTTGGTATTGCACTTGCACCAGTAATATTTCACATCCCACCATGAAAAAAAATCGTTTGCTTTTCCTGAAAATTTAGGAATTGATTCCAGGTCGAGTATTCCGGAGTAGCAGAGCAGCGAATGAGAAACTTGATGAGTATGGAATTCGTAGAAAAATCTGGACAAAACCATGGATTATTGACAACAGCGGATTCGATTAGCAACAAGGTCACAATTCCTGAAAGGTGACTGATGTCTGATTGTCTGATTAGCTGCCACCATGCAGGCTTGTATATATTTTGTACAAAATGATGATGAGGGATAGTGTACGAGAATTGTAGTCGTCCCCGTCCAAAGGGGGCACTAAGCTTTTTTGGCTCCTTTTTCGGAAACAAGGTAAATTACCAAATCCGAGCATTAACCCATTGCGTACCGCAGTGTTTTGNTATCAAAACTCTAGAGTGATTTTGGACGAAAATGCGGGCGCACAGAGGCGGAGGGGCGTGCTTCACCATGTGCAGCACGCGGTACGCAATGGGTTAAACTTGGTGAAGAATTAGTCAAAGGTTTAATTTTAACTTTAAAAGATTTGATGTGCAGTTCTCGTTAAGTTTTGACTCTCGACAGGAGTGGAAACACTGTTCATCCATAAGAGACATCCGTGATCAGTCTAACTGCGGTATGGTATCCATTTTCTTTTTCCTGTACAAAATGAATATTATAGTCAGCGCCACTAGTTCAACTTCTATTCAGAGCCATTGGTTTTCCCAGTGTAGTAGTTCAAAAACATACAAATTTGTTTACAAGACGTTAAAGAGCTTGCCGATACTGTAATGAAGGTTCTTGCATCGAGTTTGTTATAACCCATTGGCTTTAGAATGAAGAAAGGCTCTTGTGGCTAAGGCGCTTTCAAACCATCGCCTCATGCGGTATGCTACTGAAAATGAAGCAAGAATGGGCGGTTCTTGCTCCTTGCCGGTAGTCGGTCGAAGACCAGACTCAAACCGTATCTCTTTCTCCAGCCATACCCAGCAGTTCTATGATAGAGCAAAATCTGATTTCACATTGGTAATATCTGTTCTCCACCGTAGTGACTTCATGCGAGCTCAAATGATCATATGGCTGAGAATAGAAGTGATATAGGAGGCGCACCTGCTTGATTAAGGCTCGAGATTATTGCGAACTTCAATCTACTTCGGAAAAGTCCTTTACAGGCTCATGCTGGGCCGTCTCCGCTGCAGAGACTATGTCCGACCGGGTATGCATTCATTCAAGGGGAAAAAGAAAGGTTAGTTGCCAAGNGCTAGGGGCTTTTCCTTCTTTCTGTGACTTCCATACATACTACATATTGCTCAGCTCGAATAGAGCAACGACATTGTTGATGTTGTAGAACTTTTTGAAAAACATCTTTGAGATCCAATATTTCCCATTTGTACCGGTAGTCGATGTTAATCAACGGGCCTATAGTGCTATAGTCGATCGAGCGAACAAGTCTCTTTGTTGCTGCAACATCGCAGCAAGCAACTTCTTAACTGTTTCTCCCTCCAGCTGTGAGAAATTCTGATGAATAGAATACAAAAAATAAAGGACGACGCCCATGCATCCCACTGCCGTTTAGTTTCTAAGTTACCAACATCTGAATGTGTATGTGGCGTGCACAACGGTTGTAAATAGCAGGCCGCGACTCATTTCTCAGACCATGGGTATGCTACATCGCGCCTATGTACACGATGTCTGTTCGCCTCTGATAACACGTGAATTGACAAAAATTGGTTGAGTAGAAATGCGTTTATGTACAGGGAATGTGGAGTCGACGAGCTAGCTTATACACTGGGAAAGTGCGCTTATGCACAGGAAAGTGGAGTCGGCGTGATTGAGCCGCTAGCCGCGACATAACCTTCGAGTCTAGATACTAACAAATGATAAAATTTCAGATGAGAATCTCTGACACTGATATTCTTTCGTGCTGCGGAGACTTTTGCGGTTCAGGGTAAGTTCGTTTGTGACACTGATACTTCCACTGCCATATAATCGCTCTCCAGTCACAAAAGCCAGTAATTCTTATGTTTTTTTAAACTTTTTATTAAGTGGACTTGCGCTTTTTAGTTCTTCTGGCTTAACTTACAGGTGTAATGGAGGTTATTCCACTCGAGCCTGGCTCTACGCCAAGCAGCACGGCGTATGCAGCGGAGGACAGTATGAAGAGCAGGTAGGTGTGTTGCTCTGCTTCAGCACGTCACCAGTATTATAATTCGTGCCAAAGCCCTTGCTGCTATTATGAATGAAACAAGAATCTAGATGTCCAAAGAACAACATTTTGCAGGGTGTCTGTAAGCCCTACGTATTCCATCCATGTGGCTGGCATCGAGGACAGAAGTACTATGGCGAATGCCCTAAGCATATGTATAAGACACCTATGTGCCGAGAATACTGCCAGTATGGATACGGAAAGCGCTATAAGCAAGACAAAGTTTTCGGTATGCCTAAGATTACGCCCTTCATGACGTTTGTTTATTATTCCCTCGCCCGATGAAACTCCTTAACTTACATGTGGTCTTCGTAAAAATTACAATAATTTATTACTGAGCATATACCAAAGATGGTAGAGTGGATGGCCATGGTGGACTCACAGAAACCTTTAAGCCATTTCATTGCGAGCAGGGACTGCAGAAATCTCGAATGAGAGCTAAAAAGAGAAATTTCCACCGACGAAAATAGCAACTCGAAGAGTGTCCTGCTTAAGTGTCTCATTTCCGAACGTCTCATACTATAAACATTTCCAGTGCATCGTGATTGTAACAGATGAGCATACATATCAACGAATGATATACATAGTACAACCAGATTTTGTCCCCAAGTTACAACCAACAAACCCAGAACTTGCCCCACATCGTCATGGAGCCCCCTAATTTTCTGTTCACTAGCTTTGAACTCAAATCCTTATGGTGGCTCGCTTCGGCTTTCAGCAACAGGCGCGTACATGGTTCCAATGACTGAAGAAAGAATCCAATTGGAAATCGAGGTCAAAGGACCGGTCCAAGCTGCGTTCACTGTTTACGAAGACTTCGGATACTACAAGAAAGGAGTGTATGTGGTAGGCTCAGTTTGACAACGTCAATCCTTATTTGGTTATGTCAATAACGATATGTAACCTGAATGACCTCAGTTTTGTTCTTAAAATGGCTATGTTGCGTTGAAATTCAAGAAATGTAGAAACGTCGTAGTACCTTTCTCTGAAACGATTTTACCTTAACAAGACTTTTGCCTTCAGTCTTTTCGCTTTCCTGTGAAAATTCAGGCTAAATGCTAGATACGCGCCACCCTTCACTCAGCCCGGTCGACTATGTAGTTGCGTTTTTAGCACACGTCTGGTAGACCGAGAGGCCGACATGCTGTGAAAATCATCGGATGGGGAGTACAAAATGGAACGAAATACTGGACAGTTGCTAACTCTTGGAATACCGATTGGGGAGAGGATGGTATCACGCCAAATTATTATATTTTACCTTGAAATAATTTTGAGTTGGCAAGATTGAGACGTCGCTTGCTTTCCTTAGTTTCTTGGCGAAAACATAACCTCTCAACGATTTCGAAAGAGCCTCTTCGAGCGCATGTTACGAAGTCGTAGAATCCTCTCGACTACTGATAAGCTAACGACAGAGATGACCGACCATAAATATCGTCTGCGTGCTTGCATCTGGTGCAACTTTGAACAAGTAAAATAGGCTGCAGGGACTCATCGTATCCTGTCCCGAACATTCAGCAGTGATGTGCCATCTTTAAGACAGTGTCAGCGCTGGTCTCATTGCTCCTGGGACCATCTTGAGCGAGATAAGCGTGAATCGATCCAAGATTGTCTGAAAGTTGCCGTTGAGTAGGGTTTTCTCCTAATTACACGCGAACTTGCAAAAACGTCTGAGGGCTCACACTACGATTAGAACAAGTCTGACTGCGATCGGGAAGTCCGATCGATATGGGAGATGAGTTCCCCATCAACTGAATAATGCTAATAAGGCATTACTCTTTGCTACAGCCGGAATTCCGCTAAACCATTCGCAAAGCAGTGAATTTTACACCTCCATCTTTACGTCAAGTAGGAGTGGATTTCTTCGATAACCCAGTAAGAAAATGGCAACGGCTGGGAGCTGGTAAACAGCCGTGAGCGACTCCTAAACCAGGTATTCACAGGTAGAAGATCACGAATGATGTGTGTATGGTGGAGTTCTGCGGGACTAGTGCATCTCGAAGTTCCGTCATATGCCTATGTCGGCACTATTGGATGTGAACCAGGCAGTTCTAACTGGACTCTACGCAAAACCAAACTGATTGCCCCCTTGTTGCGAACATCACGCAAGTAAGAATCTAGATATCTAGGCTTGGGACGCGCCATGCCTAGATCTTGCACCGTTAGATCTTCAATTGTTCATTCCATGCAGCGTACGTAGGAGAGGAGAAATTCAACAACCGCGACGTCGTTACAGTTTGGTTGTCCAACTTCTACAAGTCGAAGCTTGAAGAGTTCTTCATGGAGCGCATTCATACGTTGTATATCAAATGGAAGAGGCTCATTGATAACGAAGGTGAATGTTTTTAAAATTGATGCTGTTGCTGTTGTTGTTTTGCTGTTGCTTTTATAATGAAATGAATAATTGATCGAAAACGACATTTCAATCTTGCCAACCTAATATTTATTTAAAGTTTATTTGTAAGTGAGTCTGAAAAGACTGTACAACCTCGAAATTCCTGTTTGTCTGGTAATAGTAAGCCATTCGCAGTTTAGGAAGACGTCTAGTATCCCTGGAAAGTTAACCACAAAAGTTCCTTGAGTGAATCCTGTGGTGGGACTGGATGAGCTAACATCGATCTCTCTTCCTGTAGTTCCTGTAGCGTCCGCCTGAAGTAAAATGGGTGCGACGTGAGGGGAGGTCGCTGTTACCGCTTGTTTTTGGTGTGATCGAAGGTGAACTTAGCACATTTGATAAACTCGACTGGTTCACCTTTAGCACCTTCCATACTCGGAAAGAAGTTCATACGATCTGCTACTTGATGATGCTATATTCTTTAGGTTTCTTCCGTATCGTGCGTGGAGTGAACAATTGTGGGATAGAGGAAGCGATCGTCGCCGGAAATTTCTTCTTTTGATTATGTGATCGATACCAATGAATATTTCATGAAACGACTAGTCAATTCGGATAATGGTGGAATATCCGCGCCGCGCCGACGCTGGCGCCTTGCTCCTCGGTACACATTGGCATCGGGGTTCGCCGCTTAGTAGCGGCGTCACCTTCGGCGTGTATGCCTGATCGGAGTCTTACGCTGCACTCGCCCTCGCCATTTGCCCCGAGGGATGTTGCTTTGGCCCTTGCAGCCCCCATGCTTGTCCTACACACCAACCTTCACCTTACGCGTGCCGCGTCCTACAACAAGGGCCTACAACCTATGCACTGCCCAACTTCACCTAGATATAACCTTCACGGCGTAACCGTCTACGTCTACTAAACTATCAACACAAAACTCTACGCAGTCCTTCATGGGTACGCCAAGAAAGGAATAATGATACGTCAGAAGGAATAAAGGTGAAAGGGAAAAATACATCTCAAGTACAGGGAAAAATACATCTTAAATACATCTATACGCAGAAGGAAAAACATTAAGTACTTCAATAAAACAAAACTAGATGTTAACCAGTTAACCTACGTACAAGGGGCTCGAACCCAATACGTTAGTCCTCACGGAGGAGAGGGGGGGGGGGGGGGGGGG